AAGACAGATGATGCACTATTGATTTGGGCCTCCAGTTGCTTTTCTCTGATCTTCTCAAAACTGAGAAGAATATGTTTGGCAGGTGTGCTGATTTTAACCTAGGGCCTGTAGCTCACTTCAACATAGCAAAGAAAATGTTCTAGTTCAACTATAGATAGATCTGATAGAATCTGATAGAGCGTAGCTAGAGAGGAGATGCAGAGCAGGTTCCAGGTTGCTTTTAATCCACATTGTATGAGCTTCTGTGGTTTAATTTCTTATGAGACCTCGGGAATTTGCTAATGTTTGAGAATAGCACCCACCCTTTTATTTTACCTCCCAGTGTTACATTGTCTTTGTTGCTTGTGTGTGACAAAACCTCCCCTAACGTATCCACATTAGAATCTCTTATTAACATATGTACTGTATGTACCCTAAAATGAATATTTTGGTAATCTTGGGGTATGTACGTAAACAGTTAGAGCTCTTTTTTGTTAAGCCGAGTGTTCTGTGAGTTTGGGGACTCTTTATATTCATTGCAAGTGTGTTGTTTTAATGTATTTTTATCCAGCATGAAAACTTGCCTGCAGGGATAAATAAAGTTTATTGGATTGAATTAAATTGAATTGAAATGGCCCTGCAATGGCTAGAGAACCTTCAATGAGTCAAAGCCACCCTAATTTGACACACCGCACAGACAAATCTTTATTAAATAAAAAAAAAAGTGATGGAGTTGGTGTGTTATGTTGTGCTGTAAGAAAACAATATTGCTTATTTCTAAAAGTTGGCAAGCTTTGTTTAAAGTTTGGTTAAAAACATCTTCATAGTCCTTGGTCCTTTTGTTCTTCAGATGCAATTTTATTACATTTCTATTTCTTTATGCGTTAGACTTTTTTAAAACACTGTGTCTGCTTGTTGAAGCCTACCCTCTAGCCACCGTCTACTTTATATGTCTTTCCTTGCATCTGGTCTTCTGCTACTGACTGTGCCTTTACTTGTGCAACTCTTTTTGCGCACCTTTTACTGATGAAAGTTTTGTATAAATTGAATTATAAGAATAGCTAACCACATTCATGATCTGATCTTGGATCGCTAAGGGCTTTCAAATTTTTAACCTGAATCTGTTCTTTAAAGATACGTTACCTGGCTTACAAACGCATATTTTAATTTAAACATCTTCTTAGAGTTCACTTTTCAATAAAGAGAATTTGAAATATATGTTTTCAATTTTTAAACGTCGCTTCTTACCTTCTTTATCAAGTAGGCTACTGTGGCCACCCAGAGGGAACACACCATGGAGAATAAAAAAAGTCACTACCATTTGTTACAACTCTATGCTTCCTATACCATTATAAGAGAGAGAGAGAAAAATTCTGTTTGGTTGAGGAAGGCTGTATGAATTATGCAGTCCATGATGCTGATATGGGATCAGCTTTAAAGCAGCTTTTATCCACATAGTAGGCCTTTTCAAAAAAAAGGGACTTGCCCAAGGTGCCGATATGGGATTAATTTTACAGCAACACTTCCATATTCCTCTATTTGGAAATGAGGAATTGTCCATTGAGCAGATATGGATCCACTTTAAAGCAAGTCTCTCCTACAGTCAGCTGCTCTGAAATGAGGAGTTGTCCATGGTGCTGATTTGGGAATGGCTTTAAAAGCTGCTTTCTCTATACTCCATTTGAAAATGACAAGTTGTCCATGGGGCTGATATGGGGTCTTCTTTGAAGCAGTTCTCCCCTGCAGTCTACTGTTTAAAAAATTAAGTAATAATCCAAATGATTTTAAAGCAGTTTTGAACCAAAGTTTTATGTTTGAAAAGAAAGAGGAATTGTCCACTGTGCCGACTTGGGATCAGATTTAAAGCTGCTCTCTCCTAGAGTTTTCCATTTGAAAATCATAAATTGTCCATGGGGCTTAATATGAGATCCACTTTGAAGCAGTTCTCTCCTATAGTCTTATTTAAAAAGTTCCTTTCCATTCCTTTCCCTCCCCTGATTTGGGAGCAGCTTTTGAAGCTGGTCTCCTGCAGTCTCCCATTAGATAATGAGGAGCTGTCCATGGAACTGTTTTGGAATCACCTCTGAAGCAACTATTTCCCAAAGAAGAAGTTGCTGCATTCATGCACTGCAGCACTACATGAATGCAGCTGCTTCCAGCCGCAAAGACTGATTACACTGACCTGAAAAGTCTTGACACATTGCAAGTATGTGCAGTAGTCAAACAAATGGAGCTACACTCACTATAGCATGAAACAACTAACAGATTGCTACTTTCATTTGGCTTCACACCGCCATTAAAAACAGTTCCAGTTCCTGCTTCTTTCTTGCTTTCTTTGGTCCTTCTTCAGCACAGTATGCACAGTAGCTCACATTCTTCCTTGGACGGCATCTGTGCGCTATTGTTGTTTTAGAAATGATCAAATTAGCTTTAACTAGCTTGTATTGCTTGCTTGACTGAGACTGATCACACATGGGGAGCACAGTTAGTATTTGTGGAGCCTTACACAGTTTTTCACAGCATGATATTTGAAAACAGTGAGCTATCCATTCTGCTCATTTGGGTTCAGCTTTAAAACAGCCACCTCTTACAGTCAGTTAGTCGGGCAGAAAAATAATATCTTTCCTTTAGCCTTCTTAAGGAATTCAGATGGAGTCCATGATGCCGATTTGGCAGCAGCTTACACTGAGCCTGCTCCATATTAGAGCACATACTGATAATATGGTAGTAGTAGCTCCTCTGTGCTGTACATGAAACACTCACTTTATTAAAAATGTAGAGAAAGGTTTTTTTTTTCTTTGCATACATAAATTAGGAACATCAATGCATCAGAGTCTCTTTCTATTGGGAGAAATGACTATTGGTTTTATGACAGTGCAAAAGGAACTGGAAGCACAATTTGAATGCTGCAAACAGATGGTTAAAATACTTATGAGTGGGGGAGGGTGAACTACCTTTATTATCGATATTTGATTAGTGCTTTTCTTTGAGTCATTTATCAATGTTTCATAGGCAAGTTCTGGTGGAATATCGAGGTATCACTAATGTTATCTTCTATGGACCTTTTACCTAGATACCCATTAACCTCCTCCTTCTCATTGCTTTTTCTTATTCCCCGCCAACCCCTTCACTGCCATGTATTGATTGGCTGCTGGTGGTGTCTTACAGTACTATATCTACTGATATTTATGTTTGTAGCTGCTGGTCTCCGGTTCCCATTATGGGCTTGAGCGATAGGCATGGGCAGTGTTTCAACACCTCGCTGCTGAGGAAAAATGTAATATTCAAGAGACCTGTCCTTAGTCAGCACTTCCACCCCAAGAGCTGGCTATGTAAAATGACCAGGGACAGCAAGTATAATGAAGCACTGTGTAAAGGCTTATAAAAGATTATAAGGGATAAACACTGATTAAACAAAACTTTTAAGGAAATAGCAAATTATGTCAGATTAAGTGGTTAATGGACAAGCATTTCTAGAGCACTTTTTGAATGTATGCAAACACATGCATACAAGCATAGAGCACATAGTATATGCATACAGCACCTCTAATGTTCATGCAGATACTCTCACTCCAAATGCCTCCAAATGACCAGCACTTCCTCGTGAACTGCAGTCAGTCCAGCAAATGACAGTTGGTACCGTATATGATAGCTATGGAAGTGCCAAAATGCCATGAACATCATCACCAAACATTTGTTTGTGTCAATGAATAAACTTCTAAAAAAATCAAGTGTATCAGTACTATGTACCACGGCCAAAAATGACAGACTGCAGTTTCACAGGACAGCTTGTTGGCAATGATTACACGCTACTTCCTAAAGCATTTAAAAACTCATATGAGTCAAAACAATTCTCCACTTGGTTATCATAAAATCCTGAGTCACAACGAATGTAACCTTTCTATCTCTTTTTCTCTCTGCCCGCACTCTGACTCCAGCAACCCCCTCCTCTCTCTTGCTCTCTGAATCTACCTTCCTTTATTTAGCACCTCTCAGAGAACAGCTTCTGCACACTAGCTTTTAAAACCCTTGTTGGTACATCAGCTCCCTAACCTGCCTAACCTTACTCACTGCACCTCAGAGAGATGCCAGCTTGTTGTGATGGTAGGTAATCTGCACCCCAACCCCCAGCCATCCCTCCACCTCTCCCTTTTTGTCTCATGCGCTCTCCCTGTGTCTCATTCTTGTCCCTCACTGCATATTTCACTGGCACACACACACACTCTGATTAACAGGTGAACCACTTCAAGGGAGCGGACATACTTGACATTTTCACCTTCTCAAATACCCAAAGAAAATTTATCTGAATACCACCTCCAGATAATGTAGCACAGTCCATTGTTCTCAAGCAATTCTTCATTTCCTTTTGTTGTTGTTTTCTACCACTCATGCTGGTCATAAAAATAGTACTGTGTTTCTCTAGGCCTACTGAAGCTGAAAACTATGATGTTTCCATTTGTCTCACTCCCCACACACAAAATCACAACCTGCTCTTTTCTAAACGTCCCACCAAGGAATAAAGGTGCATTATGGGCTCGAGGAATGCAGAACAAAACAGCAAATTTTGATAATAAACCACACAGCAGGCTGCAAAAACTTTTCCCATACAGCAGAAGCCTTTAGTTTGAAAGTCACGACTTTAGTTTTTGCTTCAGCACTCAATGCTGGAACTTACAAGCAAACCCATGCAACTGTCTTCTGTCTGTGGACTGGAATTGTAATGGTAGTAATAATGCACAATGTGCAGTGCTCATACCATTTTGTGGTGTTCTTTTTTGGGCAGACAGTATCCGTCTTTATGACATTCAATATGTTTACATGAATATAGAGGTCAAACGAGCACGCCTTGTTTACTTTATCTTCCAGTGACCCCCGTCGGTCCCCAATTCTTTCTCTCATCTCCTGTCTCTCTCTCTCTCTCCCTTTCTCTCGTCCGCTTCATTGGTAGGTTCCCTTCATCACCACCAGGGGCTTTCAATACCGCGCCGTTCCGAGAGCGGCTTTGCCTTTGCTCTCTCTGCGCTCATCGGAACAGAGACTCCAGACGCGCAGCGCGGTGGCAGACAGGGCGAGCGGAGCGTCTGTCCCTCTGATTTTCATCTGACAAGGAATCGTTTACCTTTGATTGCAGCAGAAGCGCCAAGCTGAATAACCGTTACCGTGTCCCTCTGCAACTTGTCAAGGCAAAGGCATTTGTTCTCGCCACGCGATAACGAAGGTAGGACTTTGTTTTAATTTAATGAGAAAGTTCACCGTGCGCTGGCACGCTCTTGTAACATACATTTCTGTTGGATTTTGAAAATGCCCTTTGCCTTTTAACTGTAGGAGCAAACACGAGGGAACTGCAGAAATGTACTGTGGATTTTTGTTCTTATAATACTGTGTTTGTGTGCGTGCACATGTATTGATAGAGGAAATTAGAGCTTTTGCATTTTTTAAAATAATAAATGTATTTAATTGAAGGTTGAACATCGCCAGCTAACTTGTTGACACTTATCGCACATTTAACATTTGTCAAGCACTTGGTAATAAGCGCTGCGCAGGACACAGTCGCGATTTCGATCACATGCAGTGATTTAAATAGTAATCAGACTACTCTTAACGATTGCAAGGTTACGGTAGATCCGAAAACTGTGCCCGAAATTGGTCACTCACTCTGGGACAAAACTGCACCTTCACAATTTCGTCGCATGGATTTGTAGCAACATCTTCACGGTGAAATTGGGGAGCAGGAGTGGACTATACTGTGTACATAGATTCCGTGGTGAATGGTTGTGGAAAATTCTATTTTTTAATGGTACAAACCGCAACTGACTGTAGTAGTCATAGGAATAGACAGTCTAACTGTGTATATGCACATCAGCAACAACACAAAGCCTAACAAAATGAAATAACCTAGAGGTGGGGAGGGGGGCAAAACGACTGCACGCACCTCCTGCACACTGAGATGGGTTTCCGAGGACTGCAGCCACTTGATGCGCCAACAGGATGCATCTGGGGAAGTTGGATGCGTGCCACTGTGCACTAAAGCCATGCTGTTGAATGGATGCTGACTTAAAAGCATTCTAACATCTAACTAACTAACTAAATAAACAAACAAACAAACCACAACTCTTATCTTAGTAATGTTAGGATGAACATTCACTGATAGTTATGTAGACTAAAATATTTTAGTCTCATTAAAGAAAAGTCTCATTCTTGCAAATGTAACATTGTCCCTTTTATGTATCCTTCCTTTCATTTTCTTTTTTTCCTATTACCACCAATTACTTTGGGTTTACTCATTTATATTTGATATTTTAATAATTTTCAGTCTTCATGTGGCTCTAATAGATATTCACAAATCAAATTAGCATCAGCCGCAATTTCTATCTCGTTTGTTTAACACATTCTGCTGGACAAGATCCAAATTTCCTGCAACATGCACATCTCAGCAGTTACTGACTGAGCATTCTGCTCCTCTCCCTCTCAACCTTTCGCTGTGCTTTGTTGCCTTCTTTTAAATTGATTTATTTTTGCTCAGCCTTCCAAAATATTTGTCCACATGGCATTTAGATTTGCTTAAATATTATTTGACATTTGTTATTCTCATGAAACAGTCCCTGAAGAGACAGGCAAATGTTAGCTCAATCTAGTGTTTGCTGCGTCCCACAATTTTGGACGCATTATACTGTAAGTACTTCACAACTACAAGATTGATCAGATTCCTTCCATGCCAGCTTAATATTTGTTTTGTAGGAAGGCAGACCCTTCATCTTGGTATCTGGATGAAATACAACCTGTTCCCAACTCGGGAGGACTCGTGTGTATGTGTGTGTGCTTCATATTGCTGAACATGATTTGTGACCGTGGGGTTACAGTACACTTTAAGCTAGGATATTACTCCGTGACCTTGGCTAAGGTTAGAATTGCTTAAGTTTACTCCTTAAGGGTGTCTTGACTGTATGTATCAGCGTGTTTGGAAATGTGCCTTCACGTATACGTACGTCCGTTCATGTACATGGGGAGTGTGCGTATTTGTGAGACTTCAGACAGGCCTCAGTTTACCATTTATCCACAGCTAATTGGTGTTTGAGAAAATGCCTGTCGTTACAATAGCCAATCGATTACTTTAATTTTCCAATTAGATGCTGATCTGTACAGGAATCTGTCAAAGAGACACGACCTCTAGGTGAGGGCTGCGACCTTTATTGACCCTGTGTTTGAAAAATTGATTTCAGAGGTTACATTATAGGACGGCAGTCGGTTGGAGTAGAGATCAGCGCAAGTTCAGGGAGATTTATTAAACAGTTAACTATTCAGTCATTACTTTAAACATTCATCAGGGGGCTTACTAGTTTTCTGCCATGTTGGAATAAATTTTCCACTTGCTGCAGCATCTGGCGGTTGTGTGTGTGTGTTTGTGTGCTTTAATTATTTATTTGTAATTGTGAAATTATTGCTTTATCAACTGAA